CAGATGACAATAAAGAGGAAGTTTCAGAGGCCCTGAACATTCCTCCACCAAAAACCAGTTATGAGAGGAAAGCCTGCGAGGCTCTTCTTGCTGGAGAGAAGTCATTTGGTGCACCCCGGCAGAAGCACAGATGAAGAACATGGATTCCCAGATTTCTCACCTTTAAGGAATAGCCAATGGACCTGAAATGACTGGACCTCTGCCCAGGTGGCCCTTGGTCAAGTCCCATCTTCAGGGGAATTCTAAGCCTAGACATTGAAACGAATGTGACCCATGTCACTCTAAACATAGGCAGGCCAGCAAAGAGAGTGGCCCACACCCCTGTGGTGTTGATGATGCAGATGAGCTTGTTTCACTTAGCTATGGTGACCTCCTGTCCTGAAGACAGAGACCCACAGTCTGCCAGGTGTCCAGTGACACCAGAAGCTGCAAGGGAGAAGTGAGAAGATAGAAAACCATGCGATGGGAAGGACAGAGAGTCCCAACTACCTTGAACATAAGCCAGCCCATAGATTCCTGAGGCTGTGACCCTTAACAGATTCATCCTGAAGGAAGACTTGCCCAGGAAGCAAGTGAGTCACAGGGTCCTCAGAAAGAGGGGACAGCAGAGAGCCTGCACAGATGGCACCACTTTATAGGTCATTCCCATGTTCATGGCTAAACAAGGCCTGCACCTAGAGGGGTCTGAAAGATCTCTGCATGAGACATGGTACACAGGGATCCCTCGGTGCCTGTCAGTACATCAGTGGTCTATTCATTCCTACAACTATTACTAGTTTGGGGCTGGGACAGAGGGAACCAAGAGAAGCAGGTGAGAAAGCTTCATGGGACCGTCCCATCTTCCTCACCTCATCTTCCATTTCAAGTCTAGACACCGCCCTTTCTGGCATAGACATGATCTAGCTTGGCATCAACAGTTACAACAAGCACAGGACAAAGTCAGGTTGTTCCAGAGCATTGTCCCTCACAGACACAGCAGGACTTTGTTTTCAGACTGCCTTTAGTCACAGCCAAGGAAGGGCCTAGGATGTCCTCATCAGGGACGCCTCAGGATTCTTCACTGCTTTTATAAGGGTCAGACTCATAGTTGGTGACATCTGCAAAGAACACAGTGACAGCAGTCAGAGCAGAGGGGACTTGGGGCGGCCCATCCCACCTGCCCCACTCTGCCTCATTTTCAGAGTAGAAAGAAAAATCCTGGACAGTGACAGGTGTCCTTCAGGTGACTTAGTATCTGGGTGGGACAAAAAGCAGCTTCAGGAGCTGAGGGACCACCCAGGTCCAGGAGGACTACCTGGTAACATATTGTACCTGGGATGATGACTGGCTCTGAAACTCCTACAGGTACTTGTGAACAATGATGGGGTCCCACACAGGCACATGGCCTCTTAAAGCTGGGTGTCCAAAATTGTCACCCTTTCAGGCTGCCTTCTGCCTGCTGTCTTTCTCACTGTTCTGCCTCCTAATCTACTGCTCTCATTGCCCGCTGTCTCATGCCTTCTTCCCTCTCAGGTTTGGTCCAGCACTGCTCTCCTCATGGGGACAGTCTCCTCCAACTTCCTGTACTACCATACATCCTCTCAGGTCCAGTCCTGTTAAACTGTTTTCATGTGGACTTACCTCACCACCCTTGTCTTTCTGATTATCCTGGACTCTGCCAGTGTGCCAGCTCCTTGTGGGCAGCTTGACCATCAGACTAACGATCCTGAGATTCAGCACCTACTGAGGGCCTGGCACATCACCATGTTGACAGGAAACAAAGACATTGCACAGAGGTAGCCCAGAAACTGGAGTCAGACCTCTGACCCAGTCTTCCCACTTACTCCTTGTAGATAAGAATGGAGTTGGGCCCATGGAGGGAGTAATTGCTATCATGATGCTCCAGGAGGACTAGGTCAGGCACAGCCCAGGAAGTAAGAAACAGGCTGCATGGCTAGAACTGAGAGCCGAGCTCTGCAGACATCACACATCTTAGGCAATATCTCAAAGAAATGCAGTGACAGTAGTCACAGGGCCACTCACTGAAGAATCTGGAGAGGGCCTTCTCCAGGCTCTTTAGGTCTAGAAGACCCAGAGTGAAAGCCGAAGGAGATTCAGGGAAGAAGGTGTTGCCTTCTTAGCGACAGAGCTGGCACCACAAGGACACCAGTGTGGAAAGTAGGTCTGAAGAGGGGATCAGTGGTTTCACCATCTAGTTCCCAGGTACAGTTTGGTCTCACAGCATCTTTCTATCCAACCTCCCAGTGTCAGAGTCTTTGTCTTTGTGTCACCATCGTAACAGTAACCCCCATAAGGGGCATACTAGGGTGTATTTATATTGAGACAAGTGAATCAGCCTTGTCAACAGGACTGTGTGTTGGCACAAGGTCTTCTGCATTCGATGGTGACAATGTCCCAGCTCAGCCCATCCTGCAGCTGAAATAGCACCTTTCAGAGACTGCGCACATCTTGAATGTCCATACAGACTTGTGAGGGCACAGAGGTCCAGATTGCTGTCCCAACTTGCCTCCTCATGAATCTGGAACAGGGTTCTCCTGTGACCTTGGGAAGGAATTGTCCTCTGGGTGATTGAAGGTACAATGAATGGAGGAAGGAAGAGCAAAAAGGGCCAGCATTAGTGTCCCATGACAAGAGTATTATTTGGTGATACAGGGCTTGAATACATCCTCTTAGTACTTCTTGCCTCTTCATCAGATGCTGGATGGATACCACAGTACCCTCTCTTCTTGAGAATAGAGTGAGTTCCCTGAAGAGAATCCTGTGTCACTGCAATCACATCGCCTTCTTGGGTTGGCTGGTGTCACATGGACTTGGACACCTCTGTCTATCCATCTGAACTGCAGAGAGACCTTGAGGTGGCTCCTTAAAGCCTTGACCATAGTCCCTCTGCCAGGTACCAGATCATCACATTTGATTCCATCGGGACATTTGTTCCTTAGGCCCAATATCCTAGCATCCCTTCTCCATTCCTTGCTCAGGTAAGGGAATTCTACTTCAAGCTTCCAGTCGAATCTTTTTCTATTCAGCCATGAGCCTCAGTAACAATCGATCACCTGCCTTGGTAGTCAGAGACCCCAGAATTGGGAACACAATAGCAAAGAAATGTAGGGACATAGGTCATATGGCTTCCCTCTACCAATCAGGGGAGTCCTTCTTCCAGACTGGGAGATGGGAAATGATGAATGTTTAGTAAGCAACTATTGCCCTTTGAGGGCACGTTCCTGGAATGGCTCTGTGGAGGGTACTGTGATACACCAAACAACTCTGCCAGACTGGGAATGCAGGTACACCAGCACTGGGTATCCAGCTTGGCCTCTCCCTGGTGGCCTCCACACTGATGTCATCAGGCTTTACAGGGCTCAGCACAATCTGACTGTCCAGGCCAACTGTAGGAAGTCACTGAAGTGCCCCTGCCAGGCACTAGATTCCCAAGCATTCTTCCTATCTTTGTCATCTGTTCCCTATGGACAATGGATCACACCACCATTCCACCAAGAGAAGTCAGCAGCAGCACCCTGGCTGAAGCACAGGTGAAGAGCACAGATCCCCAGATTTCTCACATTGAAGAAATAAACAGTGTACCTGAAAAGACAGGACCTCTGCCCAGGTGGCCCTTTGTGGTGTCCCAATCTTCAGAGGAATTCTAAGTCGAGGCAATGAAATGAATGACCTATATCACTCAAGCAGGGGCAGGCCAGTGAAGAGAGAGGCCCACACCCCTGTTTACCTCCATACTAGAGATGGTAATGATGACGGAGTTGAGGGCATTTGACTTAGAGATGGCGACATCCTGTCCTCCAGACAGAGACTCACGGCCTGTCAGGTCGCTGCATGCACAGGGAGCTACAAGGGAGAAGTGAGGGGGTGGAAAACCATGGGATGAGTAGGATGCTGAGCCCCAACTACCTTGAGCATAAGCGAGCTCATATCTTCTTGAGGCCCTGACATTGAACAGATTCGTCCTGAAGGAAGATGTGGGAACAGATCAAAGGAAGAATTGCCCAGGAAGTGAGTCACAGGGGACACAGTGCTCAGAAAGAGGGGGAAGCAGGGACACTGCACAGATTATACAACATTATAGGCCATTCCTATGTTCATAATTAAACAAGGCCCCCACTATGGTCAGGCATAGCCATTCAGAAAAGACAAGATGGGACCAGAGAACACTGTGTCCTTCCAAAACTGTGTCCCATCTTCACTGATGAGTGGAATGGCTGATGTAGAAACAGATGCCCGGTCTGGTGCAGGCTCTAGACATCAGAGAGGTCCAGCCACTCAATGCACTGTTTCTGTTGGGTTCCCTCTTTGACCACACTCCACTCCCCTATGAAAAAGGAGCTGCACCCACAAATTACACACATCAGGGAGCACATTAATGAAATGGTGGGCATTCTGCAAACTGACACTATGTGTGAGAATGTTCAGGAGAAAGGATTCATACCCCTGATGGCCAAAGACTGAAGAGTAGCAAGCCCACCCAGAGAGATTTGAAAGATCTCTGCATGAGACATAGCACACAAGGATCCCTTGTCAGTACCTGTCAGCATATCAGGGATCTATTCATTCCTAGAACTACTGTTAGTTTGGGACTGGGACAGAGGGAAGCTGGAGAAGGGGATGAGAAAGCTTCATGGAACTTCCCATCTTCCTCACCTAATGTTCCATTTCAAGTCTAGACACTGTCCTTTCTGGCCATCTGTTCCCCAAGGACCATGGCTCTACATCCCTGATCCCTGCCTCCCGCACCCGCTCTGGTCACAGTCTTGCTGTCCAAGGTAGTTGAGTTGCAGCAGGATTTCTCCCACAGGAGGTATGCTATGTAGTAGGATTTAATCCAGCCATTGTAGAAATACAATTGAACATTCCATAGGACCCCCCACATACATACAAATTTCTGGGTTTTTTCCCTGATTTTTCCAATGAAAAGACATAGCTAAAGGCACAGAGAAAATAAAATGCAAATCACTTAGGCACCCTCTCATACCTGCTTGCCCAATTCCTCATTGGACCCTGCTTCCTGCCTCTTTATCGGGAGCCAATCTCTTGGTGAACATGGGTGGGGTTTGAGTCGAACTCCTTGGGAAACAACAACACAGTTTTGACAGGCATGTCCTGATTCTCTCGTGCAGTCTCTCGAAGCACTGAATGTTCCCAGAGGAAGATGTTTCTTCCATGTCATTATCCGGCTCAGGTGGCAGTGGCAGGGACATTTTCATTTCCGGTATGCTGCTGCCGATACTTAGGGCAATGTCAGTTCTGCATAGACTTGGGTCATGGCTACAAGGGGGAATCTTCTTCTGGAGACATTGAGGCAGGGAGGCACTTCTGGCCAATTTCTGATCTAGTAGTGTCAGGATATCATGCTGGTGCTGTGGTGTAGTCTGACTTTGGAACAAGTCAAAGATGGGTTCACTGGCTCTTCGTTTAACAAAATTTACTGCTGGTGATGCGGGAGGAGTAGGGTCAGGGTCTGGAAGCTTGGGAAAGGAGTTGCAGTCAATCGCAATTCCCTTGCGTACCTGCTCTTTGATAATAAGGTATAGCCCCATTATTTCATCATATTTTTTCTTTCGAAGAGACTCCAAGATGACATTGACATCAAACCCAAGGTCACCGAGGATGTCTAGTACTTTGGGATCTGGGTAAGTGTCATGTGGGATGTTTTCTTCACATTTCATGACCCATGGATGTTGTTCAATGTCTTCAATGGAGGGCCTCTTCTCTGGAGCAACCGTAAGCATTTGGTGAATTAGGTTTTCAAGTTGCCCCGAGACATGGGATGGGATCTCATAGCTTCCTCGGGTGATATTCCCCTCGGTGTCTTTCAGGCTTCTTCCTTTGAAGGGGTGGTACCCAATGGTGATAAAGTAGAGCACCACGCCCAGACTCCACACATCTGCCTTCTTCCCATCGTAGCCTTCTCTCAGTACCAGTTCCGGTGCATTGAAGATGCTAGTGCCGCATCTTCCCTGCAGCACAGTTCCAGTTCGACATCTTCTGGCAAGACCGAAGTCGGCCACCTTCACGTTACCCTCTGCATCAAGAAGGATGTTCTGGGGCTTTAGGTCTCGGTGTACGATATCTATATGATGACAATACTTGATGGCCGACACCATCTGACCAAATAGTTTCTGGGCCTTTTCCTCCGGCAGCCTGCCATCTTTCTTTACCAGCTGGGCCAGGTTTCCTCCTGGAGCATATTCAGTGACAAAGTAAGAATGTTTCTGGGTCATTATGATCTGAAACAGGCGAATGATATGCGGGTGATGTAATGATTGCAATGTCGCCATCTCTGCTGCGATCATTCGAATATGCCTCTTCACATTCTCCATGGACTTTATTGCCACCGGGGTGCCTGTGAAGCGATGCCGAGCTAGTTTTACACACCCGAATGCACCGTGGCCGATGTTACCTTTAATTTTGTATTGCCTTCTCAAGTTATCGTATCGTTGGAGGCAGGCCATGAGGCCAGACGGTCACAGCACTCGAACAGATGGTGGTACAGAGTTGTAGTCAAGCCCACAGCCTTATATACAGGACACTCATTATCCCTTCACAGTGGCTCTTTGTGAGGTCAGAGGGAGAAATGGACCAATCACAGCAGGTTATAGCCTACAGTGGCTGTCTCCACGTTGGACCACAGCCACTTCCCCTTCGTAGGAAAATACGACTAGCCTCCACCAGCTTTTTACTTTGATGGATCAAAGAGGCAGACATATATTTACTGGTTTAGAAATTACACCCAGCTCAGTGCTTCAGTGGTCTTTGTAGCTGGATCCTGAGTACCTCAAACTATTTCTGGCCTTTTGAGGATGAGGCACATTTTGAACAGGTGTCCTTCAGAGAGGCAAAGTCATCAGAGGATTTTTGTCAAAGCCATGTTTACAGTCTTCTATTCTTGGGACCAGGGGGAATAAAGACAGAAAGATCCATGGCATGGGGAGCTCTTGGCTACTCTCTAGCCTGAACCTGTTAGTCCTAGTCCTGGTCCAGGGACTTGCTTCCAGGATGGCTTAAAAAGGGCCACTTTAGCCAGGCATTGGTTGTACATGTCTTTAATCCCAGCACTGGAGAGGCTGAGGCAGGTGGATCTCTGTGAGTTCGAGACCAGCCTGATCTACAAGAGCTAGTTCCAGGACAGCCTTCAAAGCCACAGAGAAACCCTGTCTCAAAACAAACAAACAAATAAAACAGACAAAAAGGGCCACTTTAAATGTGAAGGCCCAGAAAGTAGGAGGAGGCCCCTAGGGTCTCTTGGGCATGGGGTTATTCTCCTGAGAAGGCAGTGATGGTTGGGGCTCTAGATTCCTGTCATGCCTGTTCACCTCAAGGAGTCCTGGGAAACCACTGTGTCCACAAGGCTCCTTAAAGGCAGGAGATCTGTATTTCTCCCTTGTGATCCGGGGTGATGATTGCTCTCATCAGCAGTGTCAGGGACTATTGGGACAACTCCTAGAGCACGATTCCAGCCTCTGGTGTAGTTCTGGAACTGTCTCCAGACATTCCTACCTCATAGTCCCCGAGATTCGCTCCATCAAGGCCACAGGATGTGGTCTCTGAACCAGAGGTCAAGCTCTCATTGCCTTTGAGACCTTTGAGCTCATGAGGACTGTTGGGAATGGAGAGACCAAGGTGAAAGGGCCATTCTGTCCTGACCCATCTTCCTGATCCTGATCATGTTCTCCATCACAAACAGCAACTCCTTACCTGAAGCAATGGATAGGGTACTTCATGGTAGCTTCATGGGCAATGGAACCACCTTTCTGCAACTTGCTGTCCCACACCATGACTAAAGCATCTTGGAGAGGAAAGGGTTTGCTTAGCTTGTATACCCCAGTCAAAGCCCATGACTGAGGAAAACAATGGTAAGAACTCCAGCAGGAATAGAGGCAAAAGACCATAACCCTTTGAGAGCAAACATTTTCCCACTGACTTTCCCTCCCTTCCTCTCCTTGTACTGACTCTGAGGTAAGTGTGCTGAAGACCCTGTCTCCATTCCACATTTGAGGAGGGGAAAGGAAGTTTCTTACATCTGGAGATGACTTACCCGCTGGGCTTCTCTGTGATCATCTGCACTGTGCAGGAGGGTTGCACAGGCACAAATGCCCTAAACAGGGAGGCAACTGGGCCAAAGTGTGTGATCATCTGCCCTGGGCTGGAAGGTCATACAGGTTTCTTGGCTATGGAGAAATATTCCTTGCCCTGAAGTACTTGACCCCAACCCACCTCTTTTTGAACCCCAAAAATATGCTCTAATCCCTCAAACATTCTGTCTCATTGCTCAGAGCATCAGAGAAGAGGACAGCCCACAATCTGCTTAGCCTGCTCTATCTGGCAAGACCACACTTCCTTCACTAAATAAAGGGCACTGTTCATGTGGGCTGAGGCCCACAAATGCCATTCTTTACTATTGTATGTTGCTGTTTTCTCAGTCCTAATAAAGGGAAGTCAAGTACCCTAGTGGTGGTGCATATAAGGCAGTCACATGAGAGAATGGAGCTGGTGTCCCACACTAACTGCCTCACCAGCAAAAACGACACGGGGACACTCCTCAGGATCCTTCTGCAGTAAAGCTTTAATGCTACTTGAGAGGGAGAGCATAAGCTTACAGAGAGGAGACTGAACTCCCAAAAACCCCTCCTTATATAGGCTGGCAATCGTCGCCTCAGACTGTTACTTTCTGACTGGATGAAGCCCGTTGGACCATATGACATCAGCTGATCGAACCATATGACGTCTCGGGAGGGGCGGAGACTAAGGGCTGGAAAGTTACAAAGTTACCTATTGCGTATGTGCAGAGCTTGTAACGGCTCCTAACAATAGACCTTTCCAATCTTCCACTCCCTGCATCCTATTCACTCCCCCTGCCTTCTCCACAATAAAGAAAACCCTGTAACTACTCTATCTTGTCATTATCTCCCTTTCACCCCTTCGATGCA